CTGTGCCAGTGGAATGAAGGATCTGTGCTAGCAGGCTGAGGGATGAACACTGGTGCCAGGAAGCAATGGTCAAAGTAAGAACCAGAGCTCCCCCAAAAAGTACCACAGCCAACCTCAGTAACAGTGAGGTCTCAAGCTCCTCTGATGATCAGGACAGCTGAGTTCTCATCAAGAAATCTTCTCCAGGAGGCTAAGCAGTGCACCGTCTTCCCCTGTGGAACTAGAAAGCGATTCTCAAAGTGAGGGCCACAGCTCCCTCAAAGTAAATGGGAGCCATTCTCAGTGACAACAAGGTCCCAAGCTCCTTGGAAGATGAGAACAGCCAAGTTCATCAGATAGCCGTCATGACAAGCTCATCCAAGAGAACCAACAGCTCCTTACAGCTTCTACCAGCTCCCAACAGCTTCTACCAGCTCCCAGCAGCCTCAGAACTTCTTCTGCTTTAGTTCTGCCTCTTATGCTGCTGCCAACACCTTCAGGTGGCCTCCCACACCCAGCACCACACTGGTTCAGTTCAGCTGGTTGTTATAAGTTGACCAACAGTTGTCATCCACCACCCCTGGGCTCTGAGTTTGTATATGTAGGCGAATCTTCCTCCAGCAGCTTGCAGGAAAGACTTTGAGGGTCATGTCAGAAACCAGGTGAGCAGAATAGAATTAGAAAAGCTGAGTGTATTTGAGAAGGGGAAAAGTGCAGTCTAGAGAAAGAAAATGAAGTCAGAGTTGATCCCCTGAACTGAATCTTAATGAACTGATAGATGAGGAATTGGGAAATAATGGATGCTAGGTAGGCATCTATGAACTGAGAGGTAGTGGATGACTACTGTTCATCTGAATGTCAAACATAGGTGTGATCATCCATAGTCAGCTTTCTTTTTCCACATAGCATCCTTATAATCTGCTAAAGACTTATAGAAAGAACAAAAATATTACATTGAAAATAGAAATACTAATTTATAAATCAGTGAGATTAATCCCAGTAATAAGTGTATGTGAGTTTTAAACTATAAATAACTGTACGGCATTAACCAGTTCAATGAGGAAGACAATGGGCGTGGTGTTAGTGATGGGTATATGCACGAAACATGATTTGCAGTCTGGGAGGTTGATAAGCTCACCCAGATTAAATCTTAGTGTTTTCTCGACACAGCTGTTGAAAACCTCTTGCTGAAAATGCAAAATAAATAAGTAAATAAAAGTCTAAAACTATTAAGTCCTGTGTTAGTTACTCTACCTGTTGCTGAGACAAAATACCCAACGCCCAAACTGAAAGGGAGGAAAGGTTTGGCTCACAGCTTGTGGAGGTTTCAGTCCATAATTGCTGGGCTCCAACAAGGGCAACAGTTTCTGGTGGTGGGAGACAGCAAAAGCAATATGAGAGGAGAGAGAGAAACCTCTTTCTGTCCCTTACTGTGTAACCAGGCTACCCCACCCTAGGGTGTAGCATTCACACCGTCTACCCCAGTATTGGACCATAAACAAATCTCAAACTCTAGATTCAGAGGGGTCTGAAAAGCCCACTTGCATGACTGCATGAGGTTTTGAGGGGATAAACACAAACTAAAACCGTCTTTATTTGTATGATTGATGAATTTATCATTTATTTAAGTTATACCCTGTGCTTGTAGAATGCTGAAACTCTGGGGTATCAAAGAAAGGGGGTACCAAATATTTGATCATCGGACTTTGATTGCAGCAAGGGTCCCAAGACAGCCTGAGTTTTAGAAAAGGAAAGAAGTAATACACAGATACAAACAAGGAAAGGAAAAAGGTGGGTGGGATGGCTGACTATTTTTCTTCTCACTTGCAATACCGAAGGCCTCCTCACATTTCAGCCCAGCATCCCTGATAATTCCTTTTGGACACAGGAATTTTGAATGCTTCCTATTTATAGCAATAACAGTAATAATAGCTAAACTTTAGAAGTGACCTGTTATGTCCATCAACAGATGAACAGATAAAGAAAATGTATTTATACACAGGAGAGTACTATTCTGCCATAAAGAAGGATAAACCTGAGTTATTTGTAGGAAAATGGATGCATCTGGAGACCATAATATTAAGTGAAATAAATCCGACACCCAGGATTAAATACCACATGGTTTCTCTTATATGGTAAACTGAAAATATAAATTAAAAAAATAAAATAAACGTAGATAGAGAATAGGAAAAAGAGAGATAGGTCTTTGCCAAAGGGAGGGAACCAAAATGTAGAGGGAAGGGGTAGGAGAAAAGGGAAGGGGATAAAATAATTAAAATATGCTATGTACCTGCACCTACTCCCCATGATGAATGCAATCATGTACTGCAGAAATGTACCAATAACAACTCCAATTAAAAAGTAAGAGCAACTAAAAATGGCTTAGTACTCTTAGGCACTTACCTCAGTCCTAAGCACTGTAATCTCAAATTTATGAATGAGGAAACTGAGCAGCAGAAGTATTATGTAATATAGTCAACCATGTAGCTGGAGAACGTACAGTCAAGACATGAACACAGATGATTTGACTCAAACCCAGGAAGATGAGGAAGCGAGGGAGTAACAGCTCCTCAAAGAGCTGGGAGGGCCAAATGGTAAACTGATGACCCAGTTCTGGTTCACTCCCGTGGTTAAAGGTTTTCCTATGGATAAAGCCCTGTAGAATTTGCACTGAAATTAAATCTTCCCTTCAGTGTAGAAGCACAGCACTGTCTAACTCTCCCACTATGGATGAGTGTATGTTGACTTTTTTTGAAATAACCATTTGCATAGCTTTCTCCTACTGAATATGGTAGAAACCTACCATTCTTTCTGTCAGTCTGTCTTTCAACCGCATTTACATCTTTTTATTATATTCTGATCTGGTTTGTTATAAAGCTGAATTTGTTAGAGCAATATACACCTTTCTGTTACAACACAATAAAAAATATACTGGCATTTATGTTGTACTTGCAAATTGTTTGCAAATTAGACGGTACTCGCAGTAGGCATACATAATCTACATTTGTGAAATTCATAGTACTGTTTTCATTTTGAGTAAAATATAGGCTACTCAAAGAAGCTGGGGTTCCAGACAAGGTCCCTGTGCTATCAGAGGCTTCAGTCTGACTCAGCGTTGGTTCTCAGATATCCCTTGCTCTATTCAGTCTGGGTTTATGCGATGTCACTTTGCTTAGTGGGTTTTGAGAAGGAGGTCCTCAGCGGCAGTGTGACACATGAATCAATGAGCATATTCCCTCATAGAATAAGGTTCCTCCATGGCACAGATTTTATATGACTTCACTGCCTTCCATTTTTTCTCTAAGGGATAAAGTAACTGGTGCTAAGAGTGGATTTTTTAGGCTGTGATCTATACATAGAATGGCAAATTGAAAACACTTCTGGTTTCAAATAATGGAGTTTAAATTACAATATTTCTTAAGAAATTCAACGTATAGCTAGATAGGAGGAATAAACTTTAGTGTTCTATTATAGCACAGCAGCACAGAGGAGTGATTATAGTTTATAATTAGTATTTAGTACTTGAGTTAAAACTAGAAGAGTGGAGTTTAAAGGTTCCACAAACAAAGAAATAATAACCATATAAGGACATGAAAATGGTCATTTCCTTAATTTGATCATTCCACACTTGATGTATGTATTGCATTATGAGACTCTATGCCACACATATGTAGAGTTAATTTGGTGCCAATTAAAATACAAATAATATAAAAATAATTTGGAATTCATTTAAACAGAGGTGCCAGAGAAAATTGAAAAATATGTATTATTTGCACATTTAGTCATTTACCATGTCAGGAAAATAAATGAAGGGTTAAAAGAAGAAGGAGATTTTTACAAAAATTAAGAGAAATATCCGAACCAATTCCCCAGAGCAATCAGGACACAGCCCCAGCTGCTACTCTGGCTTCGACTAGGAAAGAAAGATGCATCAGTCCCTACAGTGGGAGGCACTTAGTACCCTCTTGCACTCTGGGGAGAAATATACCACCACGAGCTTTTGATAGAAATCACGACTCTGTGGAATTTTGGAATGCTTTTCAAAAAGTCAGCTTTGAGTTAATTAGTAAGTTATCTTTCTCTTCTTTGGTAATGTATTCATCAGCACACAGCCGCTCAGTGGCCTATCCTGTAGATGTACATTCTCGTGAACAATGCTGTAGACGAATTAACCACGCTCCTTTCTAACAATAATTTTTGCTCTGATTTCCATGGTTAGTGGTAATTTCATATATCATCACTTTCAAAGATGATGTTGGTATCTATAAAGGTTCAAGAGCTCTGTCTTTCCAGGACGATGTGTTTAAGACACAATTCAGACTTCCATGAATGCAGAAGTAGCTAGAGCACAGGCAAGTTACTTCACATATCTAATGCTCATCCATCTGATCTGCATTTGATTAGTAGTATTCATACAGAATTTCTGGAATGAGTCAGTAGGTCCACAACAATATCTTAATCAGTGACCCAAGTACAGAACCTGGCAGGTAAGAATAACTTAATAAATAAGAGTTAATAGTCTATGATCCTTAATATTATTAAAGAACCTGTTATTGTTTATTCATGTAACTCTTTATGAATTCAAAATTTCTGGTATTATCTATCGTTCTTTGGGTATGCCAAAGCTTCTGATAATTACATGTATATGTGATTTAGTGTATATGAAAGCCAGTGTGAGAGGCAAAACAATAAGTATTGAAGTATTAAAGAAAGAAGGTAATAGCAAAAATATAAAATTCTTTTAGAATGTGAATACCTTCTTAACTAAGTAGTGTCAGGTTGTATCTAAGATCTTGAATTAAAAATTTATAAGAAGATACTAAGGATAAAACTAACTGTAGATGTGATTTGCATTGCAAACTGCATGATAAGCTATTGCACTGCATATGTTAACTAATAATACGAATATATTGTTACATTGTGCTAACAGTTTCACACTTCACAAAGCTCTAGATTCACCATACTGTACGAAACTTAGAGTTGGTGGGGTGGGAGTTTTAGAAACCTTCTGCAGAACTCACCTTCATTATACGTGCCATGGGTTGCCCACACGCTCTTCCCAAACTCACAATGAGATGAGCATAACTTTTGCAGACCTGTGCAACAGAACAGAAGAGTAAGATAAAAATTGCTCAGGAAGTCAGTAGACCAGAAAAAGTAGAGAATTATCGAGGGGAAAAACGAGCTTTTCTTGTTTGACTACAGCTGCAGCAGAACTAGTAGCTGGTATAGGTCAAATTTATCTGAAGAAGTGTGTAGGAAGACACAGTTTTCAGTAAATTACAATAGAAACTTAGCAGGTGGGAAGATTCACTTTGGTGTTATGCAAGTTGATTTAGTTGTCATTTTTAAAAGAGCTTAGAGTGGTCAGATTTTCCATTTAGGAGGTGTGATCAAACTACACAATAAATGTTTAATCTCATTTACCTCCTCTCCGTCTCTCTCCCTGCATCTCTCAGGTCTCTCCCTTTATGCCAAAGATCCATCTTGCTATTTCCTATTATCTATCTTTTATTTTGTTTAAATTTTAAAAATTCATCACAGCAAGAGATACACAGACATGAATCCACCTCCAAGTACTCTCCCTCCCTTTCAATGCACTTATGCCGTGGTTATTGATGCTTTCTGAAGCAGTTCTGGAAGTCCTCTTTCGTGAATATCTGTAGTTGCACTCTTGGGGCTGCCTTGATGTCCTGGGTCATCTAAAATGTTTACCTTTCATGGTCACTCTGACCTTGGAGAAGAGCCAAACATTGCACAGATCCAGAGCCAGAGATTTAGGTGGATGAGGACATACTGCAGTGTGTTTATTTGGCAAAATTTCTTTAAACATTTAATCAACAAGGGATGATCATAAAAGGCAGTGAAGGTTTAAATTAAAAATGTTAGTATGAAAGAAGTCATATCACACTTAATACTCTTTAAAATACTCCCCCTTATTTAGGGTGCACTTTCTCCATTATTCTTGCAATGAATTCTTTACTGCAATGATTTTGTTTAATTTAAAGACTCACTGTATTTTTTAATCTCCCCTTGAACATCCTCCTGGGATGAGTAACATTTTCTTATAATATTCTGTTCACCCAACTCCAAGAGCTGTGTCTTTTCCCTTGCTCACTCCCTGCTGTTTTTTAAAATGATTTTTTATTTAAGAGAATTACAAAAATAATAAAAATGATACAGAATTTCAAAACAACATGATAGGAAATTAATAACTCTTTATATTGCATATTGTTATCTTCAAAGTAGGTGCTCAGATTAGCAGATATAGACATGTAATATTGATCAAACAATAGAAACACTAACTATTCCTTTCAATGAACTAATAGAAATTAGTAGTACAATTATCTCAGCTATCTTGTATAAATATATATATATATATTCCTTCCTTCTTTTCTCCTTTCCCCCATCCCAGTTGTTCTTTCCTTTTGAGCAGTTTCTTATTCTTTCACAGTATCCAGTGTACATTTTGGATCTTATTTACTTTTTCAGTTTCATAGTTATGCTAAAGCACAAAAGTCCCTGAATGTGACCTGCACTTCTTTATCTCTGAGATTTTCTCATTCCATTGCCTGTCTAGAACACATTACTTTCCCACCACCTCCATGAAAATCTACTCTTTAAAACTTGGTCCATCTTCAAAGCAAACATTCCAAATGTCTCCAGTGAAATATAGCATTTTAAAAATATAGCATTCTTTCAGAAACACATGTAGGTCTTAACAGGTACCTTAAAGGATATAGGAGGAACTTCCCTCTCATCACTCTGGCTATATAACTGTGGAGAGATTAAGGTCTCTGAGTTGAATTATTTCTTCTGCAGAGAAAAGAATAATGACTACTGTATCCTTGACTTCACTTCTTTGACTCAGTGCTTTGTAGTAACCAGGCTTCTCCTTGGATTTCAATCAAAGTTGACTAAGCATATTTATTTAATATTCTATAGATGTAATCCATATTTTAAGTACGCCAACTGGATGAAATTCTTTTTTGCACCATGATAGAAAGAGATATTTTTTAGACAGCATCTCACTCTGTAGTTCAGGCTGGCCTTGAGCTCACTATGTAGCCCAGGCTGGCTTCAAACTTGGAGCCCATAATCCTGTCTCAACCTCCTGAGTGGGGAAGATTACAGGCTTGTGCCACTGTGGCCCACAGTAGGAAAGCACTGCTTTGTAATCTATCTACTATTTTGATTCTGATTCTTGAATGTACTTACAAGATATGGGCTTGAAGAAATCACCAGATACATACATGATAAAGTAGTCCACTTTATAAAAGTAGAGTCTCTTTTATAATAGTAGAGTTAGCTTATGCTACCTTATATGAAAGGCCCTTAAATATCAGTTTACAGGACATAACCTGAAAAGAGACACTAACGACCAGTTTACCCAACCCCTCCTACTTTACAGAGAAATAAACTGAGAACCTGGGTCTGTTATGAGCTTTGTAGAATAAGTTCTTCTTGACAGCCGCAGAGCAGAACCTTGAGCCAGACTTCAGCATTCTTTCTTCTTTGTCACTTCTGTGGCTTTACAAGAAGACATTAACATTTGCTAACTGTACTATTAAAGTGATGAAACAGGTAAAGTGATTTTGCTGTAGGCAACTGAATTAGATAGAAATATTATAGGCGGTAAGACAGGGCCAGGCCCTGGAAAAAGTCAATGTGGAAGACTAGCTACCTTGCAACTTTGGGGGAGACAAGCACCTATGATGCGGGCTGGCCATCAAGACAAAAGATAAAATAAATGCTCCCACATACCTCCCTAATGGGTGGACATCAGGGATTGATATTCTGTGTAGGTCTCTATCAACTTGAGAAAGCCAAGAAGGGTCACTAACCCAACCCTGTATGGGAAAAGCCCCTGGTCTGCATTCATGCCCCCTTGTACGTGACTTGCTTCCCCATTTGATCCTGATTTAATCAATTTTACCTGAGCAATTATACTTGTAATCTTATTGCTTGACTATAGTTTTGTCCCATCTCATGCTCACCTATCAAGTTCCCATGTTTCCCACCTTGGACCCACCTCAACTCATGTTTTGCTGTATAAAAATCCCCGGGAAAGACAGATTCTTTGGCAACCCACTTGGACCCGCCTTCTGTCCCTCTCTCAGAAGCTTTCTTTCCCCCAGTAAATACATTTTGTTCTTATCCTACGTTGTTCCTAAAATTCATTCTTTGATTTTAGAGAACATGATAATCATCTTTATCCCAGATTTAATCTGAATCTCACCAAGTGATGTGCGGATACAAAATGTCACCCACCACTGATATTCTTGACTAAAACCAAACTTTGACTGGAATATTATTTTATTGTTGTTGTTGCTTGGATTGTCTCTTTTCAAAGAGACAAATTACTTCAGATTATCCCAGATATCTAACAGGGTGAAGCTTCTTTCCCCTCTATCAGTTTGGTGGAGACAAATCCGATGTTTGGGATGAGGACAGCCACAGTGACTTGGCACTATTGCTGGGTAAAGGTATAATGTAAGCTGAACTTCCAATTCACAGAGAATTTGAATAGACCACGGCATTGGAAGATTAACTCCTCTGTGAGAAACGATGAGTGAAAATGTGGAGAGAGAATAGGCAAAAGAGTCATGAAGGGAAAGAGAAGATGAAGGTGGAAAAGAGTGTTTACAAAACTCCACACGAGCATATGCAGAGAAGATGGCTACTGCAGCAAAGTTACGAGCACATAGTTCACACCTATCGTGCAGTGGGCCACACAACTGGATCATTTTGCCTTTTCTCTTAAGTTACGAACTACATCGGAAGAATTGAAAAGAAGTTCTGCACACTGAAGGTAGGTTGTGGGATGCTTCCTGTGACAGCGACCGGCGGAAGGCTGAGAAGAAGTCATTGCACAGGGATCCACACATCCTGCAGGGATCCTTAAAGGTAGACTGAAGCTCCAATACAGTTTTCAGCAGTAGAAAACAGTCTATATGAGCAGCACTATAAAAGACACATCAGTATTTTACAGTTGGCTGCAGAGTCCACAGAGAGGAGAGATGAAGAAATAAGGAGGCCGTAATTCATGTCACAGCCTCAGGAACACTGACAGCTGTTTTTCTTTAAGAAAGTTAGAGATGCAGGGAAGAAAGGCAGGCAGATAGGAGGCCTGAAGGTCTAGTTCCAAACAAGCCAGCTTCGGACTGAGTTTGATGTAACACTGGACCTACGTTCAGGACCTGAGAGAGAGGCACCGGCAGGAGACACAGGTCAAGATGCTCTGCAAGGTGAGCTTCAAGCCTATATCATGAACCATTAGAAGAGAAAAATTGCAGGAATAGAACAGAAAGGGGCAAAACAGATCCTTAGTCAACAGCCACAGATAACTGGCAGAAGAAGGCAGAGAAAACAAGGACGTAGTGAAAGCCATAAAGGGATATTCTGTAGGCATATTTTAACTGTACAATGGGAGAATGCAGGGTCCTGCTTGCATTTGAAGAAGGCATTCACTGTGCCTTCAAAACACGAGTTCCTGTGCCAGAATGCATATCTCACAAAGCAACTGTTCCTTCAGGAAAAGAGAGCTATAGAAAGTCTGAGTTACCTAATACTAGTTCATCCTAAGAAATACGAGAGTGAATTGAAATATTTCATTGAAATGTACGTTTCCAAGCTGGGTAACGGTGTGAGATCCTATTGTGAGAAACAACAATTGTTTGATCAATCTTGCATTCTTACATCTGGTAACCTGAGCAACTTTGTTGAAGATAACATCACGTAATGTAACAGCCATTGTTAACTTTCTATCACGTTGTTCTGAAATTTTGTATCATTTTTATTGTTTTTGTGTTGTTTTGTTTTTGTCTTGGTTCTTGTCATTTTGTTTTCTTTCCTCTTTAAAATAAAAAACAATGACTGCAAAAACAAACAAAAAGTGGACTTCTAAGTAAAATTCTGTCAAGGTTATATGCTGAATATTATGAAATTTGCTATTCCTTTAAACCTCCCTCATCAGAATTTATGAGCAAGGCAAAATTTGGTTTATCATTTGTTCAGTGTAATGGCTTACAAAAATCTGGTCAAAATTCCGCTAATAAGTCCCCAAATTTGGATATGACTATCACTGGAGGATCTG